TATTCAAATCTGAACCGATTTTGATAAAATTTGGCACAGGTATTACTGGGCTGTATCGTGTAACTGGAAAATCATTGTTGTCGAATGCATATTACGCATGTGAGGGACTTAAAAAACCAAATCGGATGAAACAGGGTTAGAATAAAAAGAAAAACGGCAACCAAGTTCAGACTGCTCTCATTTCCCGTCCGACAGCTGTTAAAATTATTCCAGTGAAAGCTCATTCTATTGTTTACAAGCGTACAAAAGCATTTTGGTGAGAATTTTCCAGAAAAAAAGTTATTCGTGATTCGGAATTCAAGCGTGATAGTGTGATTTCTTTATGTTTGGCTGTAGAGCCACACGTGGCTATCGTTCGAGTACTCCAGCATTTAAGTGTGAATACATCTTTTGTGTCTCGTACCATCGCTAGTTACCGTCGTGATACTGGTAGCGTAACCCGACGTCAAGGAAATTGACGGAATGGACTATGTTATATAAGGGAGCTATATCCAAATCTGAACCGTTCTCGATAAAATTTAAAAAAAAAATCCACGTTTATGGATTTCATTAAAAAAATAATTTTTAAAAAATCCACGTTTATGGATTTCATTAAAAAAATAATTTTTAAAAAATCCACGTTTATGGATTTCATTAAAAAAATATTCTTTAAAAAATCCACGTTTATGGATTTCATTAAAGAAATAATTTTAAAAAAATCCACGTTTGTGGATTTCATTAAAAAAATAATTTTTAAAAAATCCACGTTTATGGATTTCATTAAAAAAATATTCTTTAAAAAATCCACGTTTATGGATTTCATTAAAGAAATAATTTTAAAAAAATCCACGTTTGTGGATTTCATTAAAAAAATAATTTTTAAAAAATCCACGTTTATGGATTTCATTAAAAAATAATTTTTAAAAAATCCACGTTTGTGGATTGTATAAAAAAATAATTTTTAAAAAATCCACGTTTATGGATTTCATTAAAAAAATAATTTTTAAAAAATCCACGTTTATGGATTTCATTAAAAAAATAATTTTTAAAAAATCCACGTTTATGGATTTCATTAAAAAAATAATTTTTAAAAAATCCACGTTTATGGATTTCATTAAAAAAATGATTTTTAAAAAATCCACGTTTATGGATTTCATTAAAAAAATAATTTTTAAAAAATCCACGTTTATGGATTTCATTAAAAAAATAATTTTTAAAAAATCCACGTTTATGGATTTCATTAAAAAAATGATTTTTAAAAAATCCACGTTTATGGATTTCATTAAAAAAATAATTTTTAAAAAATCCACGTTTATGGATTTCATTAAAAAAATAATTTTTAAAAAATCCACGTTTATGGATTTCATTAAAAAAATGATTTTTAAAAAATCCACGTTTATGGATTTCATTAAAAAGTAATTTTTAAAAAATCCACGTTTATGGATTTCATTAAAAAAATATTCTTTAAAAAATCCACGTTTATGGATTTCATTAAAAAAATAATTTTTAAAAAATCCACGTTTATGGATTTCATTAAACAAATAATTTTTAAAAAATCCACGTTTATAGATTTCATTAAAAAAATAATTTTTAAAAAATCCACGTTAATGGATTTCATTAAAAAAATAATTTTTAAAAAATCCACGTTTATGGATTTCATTAAAAAAATAATTTTTAAAAAATCCACATTTATGGATTTCATAAAAAAAATAATTTTTGGAAAATCCACGTTTATGGATTTCATAACAAAAAAATTTTTAAAAAATCCACGTTTATGGATTTCATTAAAAAATAATTTTTAAAAAATCCACGTTTATGGATTTCATTAAAAAATAATTTTTAAAAAATCCACGTTTATGGATTTCATTAAAAAAATAATTTTTAAAAAATCCACGTTTATGGATTTCATTAAAAAAATAATTTTTAAAAAATCCACGTTTATGGATTTCATTAAAAAAATAATTTTTAAAAAATCCACATTTATGGATTTCATAAAAAAAATAATTTTTGGAAAATCCACATTTATGGATTTCATAACAAAAAAATTTTTAAAAAATCCACGTTTATGGATTTCATTAAAAAAATAATTTTTAAAAAATCCACGTTTATGGATTTCATTAAAAAATAATTTTTAAAAAATCCACGTTTATGGATTTCATTAAAAAAATAATTTTTAAAAAATCCACGTTTATGGATTTCATTAAAAAAATATTCTTTAAAAAATCCACGTTTATGGATTTCATTAAAGAAATAATTTTAAAAAAATCCACGTTTGTGGATTTCATTAAAAAAATAATTTTTAAAAAATCCACGTTTATGGATTTCATTAAAAAAATATTCTTTAAAAAATCCACGTTTATGGATTTCATTAAAGAAATAATTTTAAAAAAATCCACGTTTGTGGATTTCATTAAAAAAATAATTTTTAAAAAATCCACGTTTATGGATTTCATTAAAAAATAATTTTTAAAAAATCCACGTTTGTGGATTGTATAAAAAAATAATTTTTAAAAAATCCACGTTTATGGATTTCATTAAAAAAATAATTTTTAAAAAATCCACGTTTATGGATTTCATTAAAAAAATAATTTTTAAAAAATCCACGTTTATGGATTTCATTAAAAAAATAATTTTTAAAAAATCCACGTTTATGGATTTCATTAAAAAAATGATTTTTAAAAAATCCACGTTTATGGATTTCATTAAAAAAATAATTTTTAAAAAATCCACGTTTATGGATTTCATTAAAAAAATAATTTTTAAAAAATCCACGTTTATGGATTTCATTAAAAAAATGATTTTTAAAAAATCCACGTTTATGGATTTCATTAAAAAAATAATTTTTAAAAAATCCACGTTTATGGATTTCATTAAAAAAATAATTTTTAAAAAATCCACGTTTATGGATTTCATTAAAAAAATGATTTTTAAAAAATCCACGTTTATGGATTTCATTAAAAAAGTAATTTTTAAAAAATCCACGTTTATGGATTTCATTAAAAAAATATTCTTTAAAAAATCCACGTTTATGGATTTCATTAAAAAAATAATTTTTAAAAAATCCACGTTTATGGATTTCATTAAACAAATAATTTTTAAAAAATCCACGTTTATAGATTTCATTAAAAAAATAATTTTTAAAAAATCCACGTTAATGGATTTCATTAAAAAAATAATTTTTAAAAAATCCACGTTTATGGATTTCATTAAAAAAATAATTTTTAAAAAATCCACATTTATGGATTTCATAAAAAAAATAATTTTTGGAAAATCCACGTTTATGGATTTCATAACAAAAAAATTTTTAAAAAATCCACGTTTATGGATTTCATTAAAAAAATAATTTTTAAAAAATCCACGTTTATGGATTTCATTAAAAAATAATTTTTAAAAAATCCACGTTTATGGATTTCATTAAAAAAATAATTTTTAAAAAATCCACGTTTATGGATTTCATTAAAAAAATAATTTTTAAAAAATCCACGTTTATGGATTTCATTAAAAAAATAATTTTTAAAAAATCCACATTTATGGATTTCATAAAAAAAATAATTTTTGGAAAATCCACATTTATGGATTTCATAACAAAAAAATTTTTAAAAAATCCACGTTTATGGATTTCATTAAAAAAATAATTTTTAAAAAATCCACGTTTATGGATTTCATTAAAAAATAATTTTTAAAAAATCCACGTTTATGGATTTCATTAAAAAAATAATTTTTAAAAAATCCACGTTTATGGATTTCATTAAAAAAATAATTTTTAAAAAATCCACGTTTATGGATTTCATTAAAAAAAATAATTTTTTAAAAGTACACCTTTGTGGATTTCATTAAAAAAATAATTTTTAAAAAAACCACTTTTATGGATTTCATTAAAAAAATAATTTTTAAAAAATCCACGTTTATGGATTTCATTAAAAAAATAATTTTTAAAAAATCCACGTTTATGGATTTCATTAAAAAAATAATTTTTAAAAAATCCACGTTTATGGATTTCATTAAGAAAATAATTTTTAAAAAATCCGCGTTTATGGATTTCATTAAAAAATAATTTTTAAAAAATCCACGTTTGTGGATTTCATTAAAAAATAATTTTTAAAAAATCCACGTTTGTGGATTGTATGAAAAAAAATTTTCTTTAATTTTTTTTTTTTTTCAAAAAAATAATTTTTTTTTTCAAAAAAAATAATTTTTTTTCATGGTTTTCGTAAAAAACAAATCATGTAGGAAGTTAAATTTCGTCATGTCTTTTTGTCAAACAATTGGAAACATTTTTTTTTTTTGGAAAAAACAGTCAATCATTGCTATTTTCCGGCTTAGTGAAAAAAAGGAAAGTTCTCACACTTTTCCACATTTCCTCTAATTCAATTCCTATGCAAATTCACATAAAGTAGAATTATTTTCTTGACCTTCTTTATTTGCGGCCATATATAAAGAGAGAGTAAAAGTGAGAGAGTGAGAGAGGGGGTTGAGAGGGAGGAGGTTTGGATTTAGAACCTCCCTAAAGCGCTTAAAGCTTTAATGTCGCTTCCATTGGAGTGACCATAAATTATGGTCTAAAATGGTCATGTGAAACAATTGTTGCCATTATGGCCAAGACATTTGCATAATAGGCGACTAGGCAGTAGTAGAAGAAGAAGGATACCATGGCGAAGACGACAAGAATAACAACAACAACAAAGACGATGACTACGACAATGACTAACGACAGGGGTTTTCCATACAAATTCAATTGTTGCAATTCCTGGTGGTCAGCCGAGAAAATGCCATGCGGCTGGGGAGGACAACAAAAGAGGTCATTTCTTAAGCAGTTCCAACAAATGGGGACATGGCTTGTTTATTATCCCCTCGTCCTCCTGCTTTCTTGAAAACCATTTGACACCCATTTGAATGGCTTGACCTTATTTTTTTAGATGACCTTTAAAGCTATCTTTATTTTTAAGTATAGAAGCTTTATTTTTAAATTCCCCTGAATGGGGGTCTTAAAATAATTTTTTGTAAAATTTAAAAATACTTACAAAACAGTCTAGAAGCTTTTTGCAATGGAAACAAACGAGGAGTGCAGGCTGGGTGAGGAGGGGGAAAAATTCAATTCAAATCGATAATCAATTTTGAACCTTTATCGGCTTTACGCTCAGCGGGTTCCTTTTCATCCCAATATCATATGGTTCTCATTGCCACGCCTCTTTTATCCTCGATTTTCCTGGATGTGTTGCCCTTCTGTTCTTTGATGTGTAACTGCAGATTTTCGTCCTGATCGTAGTCTGTCCAAATTTTAAAATTCTTATATGGCACATCCACCGTGGTCGTGGTCACCGTTGAAGTGATGGGATTTTTAATGGGCCTCAAATTCCGCTCCGTTGTTGTGGTGGTGGTACAAATTGACTTCTGCTGCGTCTTCGGCTGGGTAATAATTGTCGTCTTCGAATCGGGTTGGCAAATTTCAAGAACCTTATTTTGTGGCGGATTTTCAAAGGTAATTGTACGGCGCCTGGTCTGTGTTAAGGCCAAGTTGCGACTCAAACGTTTCGTGTGCTCCTCAACAATGGTTATACACAAATCACGCATGACCGATCGACAGACAGACAGGCAGACGAACAAACAACGCAAAGACGTTAATGAATTATGTTTTTTTATTTTTTTTTGTTTTTTTTTTTTTGAGGCGTTGTGAATTTTCAAATAATTTTTTTATTTTTTATTTTGAGGCGTTGTGAATTTTCAAATAATTTTTTTTCGTCGTTATTTAGTTGTGAATTTCAATACTTTTTCGGCATTCAATTTGTTGTCGTATTGTTTACAAATTATTGTTGTTTTATTTTTTTTTTTATTTTATTTTTTTTTTTTTTGATTTTTATTTGTTGGCTGTTTGTAAAATTTTATTTTTTTATTGCAATTTTTTTTTATTTTATTCAAAATCGTTCAAATTTCATTAAAATGCTTGTTAACATTTGCACGTGCTGGGAATATTTTTTTCTGAGTTGTGGGTGTTGTTATCTAAAACAGGGGGGAAAATCCGCCGAAAATTATGAATCATGTTTGAAAGGTAACTGAGGACGAACAGTGGGTACAAAATAACAAAAAAAAAGTAAATATGTTTTTTTTTTAATTTTTGTAATTCAGGGAAGTATGGAAATTTTTTATTTTAAACATAAAATATTATTTTTTTTATTATTATAAAAATGTATATTATTTTTTATTATTATTTTTATATAATTTAATTTATTTATTATTTTTATATAATTTAATTTAATTTTGTAATTCTGGGAGTTGTGGATATTTTTTTATTTTAAATATAAAATATTATTTTATTTTTTTTTAATCTAAGAATATGTATTATTTTTTATATAATCTTTAATATGTATATTTTTATTTTACAATAACATTTAACAACATTTACATTTTTCGGAATAATAATGTAAAATATATCAATTTTATTCTAGGGCTGATAAGTCCCAAATACTTCCGACTTCAGTTGAAGGTAATTCCCATATTTCTCAGAATTTTATTTAAAAATTATGGAAACACTTTTATGTTTTATACTGATACAAATATTGGGATTTTCAAATGAGGGAAATATTTACAAGTTCCAATGTTGAAAAAAAAAAAAAACAATAAATAAATAAAAAAATAAAAAAGCTGTAAGTTCGGACAGGCCGAACTTTGAATACTCTCTACCATTTGGAACGAATTGTGCAATTCTCAAAAACAATAAAAACCTGTTAAAAAATTTGTTAAAATCTTAAAAATACCGAATGTAGCTATTATATTGAGGCATGAACCTGCGTAGGTAACATTTGTCATTAGCCATTACAACATTCAAATGCGAAACTTAAAAAAATGTCGGTTATAATGTCGATAAAATCAAAATACCGAATATCGGGGGTACCGTAATGTGAGGGCTATACGAAGACGTGGACCTGCACAGACAATTTTCTGTCTTAGGCTGTAGTATTCATTTAGAGCTCCAATTACGTAATTTGAATAATGACGCTAAAATCATCAAAATGCCGAATATTGGGAGGTACCGTTATTTGTGAGCTATATGAAAACATGGACCTACATGGCCCATTTACGAACTTAACCTGCGTACTGGAAAAATAAATACGTGTGCAAAATTTTAGCCTTCTATCTCAATTCGTTCGAAAGATAGCGTGATTACCACAGACAGACAGACATGGCTAAATGGAGTGGAGGGTATAAAAAAGAGGAGACAAAGGCTGCACATATCTGCTACATATACCCTCAGCCATATGGCTACAGAGGGTATATACAATATATATACAATATATAAGGTCAAAACGTGCCCAGTGGAAATAACGGTTTTAGACCCTAGGTCTCTTTGGACCAAATCCGTTTCGGAACATTTTGAGTCGATCTAGCGATGTCCGTCCGTCTGTCTGGCTGGCTGGTGCGCACGATGACTGAGTAGAAAACATTGTCTATAACATTATTTTCTGTCGAAAACATTGTCGATAACAATACATTCTGGAGAAATAATTGTCGATAATCAATTTTTAAGCATGAATTATTCAATATTTTAAAATGGCCATAACTCCTTAAATATTGAGTTTTCGGCGTTTTTAGCTACTATTTGTGATCACTTTTTAAAGCATAAATTTTTCAATATTTTAAAAAGGCCATAACTCCTTAAATGTTGAGTTTTCGGCGTTTTTAGCTATTATTTATGATCACTTTTCAAAGCATGAATTTTTCAATATTTTAAAATGGCCATAACTCCTTAAATGTTGAGTTTTCGGCGTTTTTAGCTATTATTTGTGATCACTTTTCAAAGCATGAATTATTCAATATTTTAAAATGGCCATAACTCCTTAAATGTTGAGTTTTCGGCGTTTTTAGCTATTATTTATGATCACTTTTCAAAGCATGAATTTTTCAATATTTTAAAATGGCCATAACTCCTTAAATATTGAGTTTACGGCGTTTTTAGCTACTATTTGCGATCACTTTTTAAAGCATAAATTATTTAGAATTTTAAAATGGCCATAACTCCTTAATTTCAAGTTTCGAATTTGAATATGGTAATGGATTATGACAAACAATGGCTATGTAGGTCCACGTCGTATAAACCCCAATATAACAGCTATATTCGTTGTTTTTAAAATTTTTACAGAATTTTTTAATGATTTAATTTTTTTAAAATTTCCAAATTCGTTCCCAATGGCAACGAAAAAAACAAAAAGAGAAACCATAATCCGATTTTGCTCGAACTTTGCAAATCCTAATATTTTCATCAGTGGTAGGACAGGTATGAAAGTGGACAATATCGGTCCACTCCATCAAGTACCTCCTCCACAATTTGTCAAAATTTTTAATTATTACAACTCGCATAAAATGTGATTTAAGAATCCGATAGTCTTCAAATTTCACACATCCCAATAATTTTATTAACAAAAAGCCTGGTGTGAAAATACAATATATTGGTCCACTCCTTCTGGTACCTGCCCCACAAAAGATCGAAATTTTCAAAAAATATATTTTTTTTGCACAGAAAGAGAAAGGATAATCCGATTTTGCTCCAACTTTGCGAATCCTAATATTTGCGTCAGTGCTAGGTCAGGTGTGAAAATGGACAATATTGGTCCACTCCATCAAGTACCTACCCCCACAAAGGGTAAAATTTTTTAATAATTATAAGTCTTTTAAAATGTGATGTAAAAGTCCGATAATCTTAAAATTTCACACATCCCAATAATTTCATAAACCCAAGATCTGGTAGTAAGATGGAATATATCGGTCCACTCCTTCTGGTACCTCCCCCACAAAAGGTCGAAATTTTGAATATCCATTAAGCTCATAAAATTAGCGAAATTAACGCCGGATTCCATTTAGACTTGACACATCTGAATATTGCTATCAACACAGGATCTGTTGAAAAAAAAGGTTGAGATCGGACTATTCCTTCTGGTACCTTCCCAACAAAGGCTCAAAGTTTTGAATAATCAAAACATTAATAAAATCCGAAATAAGCATTAGGTTCTCTTTATATTTCATACATCACATTGTGAAGATGGGATATATCGGTCCACTCCTTCCGGTACCTCCCCCAAAAAGACTCAAAATTTTGAATATACATGAAGCTCATAAAAAGCGGAGATGGCATTTGATTCTATTCAAGACTCGATACATCCCAATATTTCGATCAACACAACACAGTCCAAACCTAGCACGACGCAATATTTATATCATATTTATTTAGGTCCGATAAGAAATCGCCAATATTTGCCCAGTCCTACTGAACCTACTGCATAAGGGGTTAAGCATTTGAATAATCATAACAGAAGCAATTTATATCCCTTTCACCCAATTCAAGTACTTTTTAGTACAATTATAGTACACATTTCCAAAACCACCTTCATATATTAACCACATATAGCAACAGTGACGTATTAATCAAATTTTAGGATTTCAGCTCCAGTCCTTTATCGAATTCTAATTTTTTTATTATTTAGAATTTTAGTACGGTCATAGTACTTATTTCCAAAAAATAAATTTCCGTATGTACCAAATTACAGATTTCAAACGCTATCTGTGCACCCAATACCAAATTATACCGAATATAGTACTATTTTGAAATTTTCGTGCCTTTGCAGTATACATATCTATATCCACCTCTTTATCACAAACCTACCACCAAGCCAATACAAAACCTCAAATTTCCGCAAATTTAGTACCATTTAATACACATTTCCAAAACCACCTTCATATATATCACACTTACTTTCCAAACTTGATTCTCATACCAAATTTCAAGATTTGTGGTCTACTGATTCACCCGAATCCAAATTGTACCAAATTTATTACCATTTAGTACACTTTTTCAAAGCTTCCTACTTGGGGTATGTACACTCCCACGGCAATTTCAATTCCAAAGTTCAGCATTCCATCCTTATAGGTTCGCCTAAATACAAATTGTATCAAATTTTGTACCATATAGTACAGATAAGCACGGAATTCCAAAACTTACTACATAACCTAATCCTACATTCCAACAGTAATCTTAATTCCAAATTGCAGGATTCCAGCTCTATCGTTTCACCCGAAATCCAGATTGTATCAAATTTAGTACCATTTTAGTACATATCCGTACAAATTTCGAAAACTACCTACATATCCCAATCCTATACTCCGACAGTAATCTTATTTCCAATTTTGAGGATACCAGCTTTATTGGTTCACCCAAATCCAAATTTTATGAAATTTAGTACCATTTAGTACACTTAAGTACACTTTTTCATAACTATCTACATCGTACAGTCAAACAGAAATCTTATTTTTAAATTTGAGGATTCCAATTTTATTAGTTCTCCCAAAATTTAAATTGTACCAAATCTAGTACTATTTAGTACACTTAAGTACAATTTTTCAAAACTACCTACATCGTACAGTCCAATAGAAATCTTATTTTCAAAATTTCAGGATTCCAATTTTATTGGTTCTCCCAAAATTTAAAATGTACCAAATTTAGTACTATTTAGTACACTTAAGTACAATTTTTCAAAACTACCTTCATGGTACAGTCAAACAGAAATCTTATTTTTAAATTTCAGGATTCCAATTTTATTAGTTCTCCCAAAATTTAAAATGTACCAAATTTAGTACTATTTAGTACACTTAAGTACAAATTTTCATAACTACCTACAT